GTAAAAATTTTCCTGCATTCTCATTTTGATATGGCCCCTTCCATGTGGAATTCCAGCTTTCCAAACTACCTCATGTATTTTTCTCATTGCACTAGTGATCTTTGCAAGTCTATGCATTGTAAATACTAGTTTTGCTATCCCTACAGAAAGGAAAATCTTTTGCTTCACAAATAACTATATTACCATCTCCTTTCTTTTTCTTCCACTTGAATGTAAATCTCCTGTAATATGACCTAGATAGTGCAAAGAGAAGAATCTTGGTTTGCTTTTGTTTGGAAAGAGATTTCAGGTGGATCTGGCGGTGTTGGGAAAGGCATCTAAGGGTCACACTGGCCAAGTGCAGTGATTGCACCTTCTCTGTGAGCCATGCTGAAACACAGGTTTTGACAAAGTACTCATACATGGTCCTGATAACCAACTGCTCTTCGTGTGAAGTATCCACACTGCGCTGCTGAGGGGAAGGGAGCTCATGGCTCAGTGCACTGCTCTTACTCCAAAGCCTCTGCTGTCTTCCCTAAATAAACACCAAGGACTGATGCTTTCCCTGGTGTAACACCACTGACCTCTCCGAAATTACACCAGGCATGAATTTGATCAGATTTGTCATCAAATCCATTTTGTACCAGCAGGAGCACAGACGAGCGAGGCGAGCCATCCCGCAAGTCCCATCCAGGGCTTTTCTGTTGCCCCTGCTATTACCCCAGGCTCCTTCCTCACCTTAGGCTGAAGGGAATGATAAGGTCCAACTTGTCAGGACTTATTACTTATTCACAAAACTATCACACCTTTGACACATCTGTCAGTTTTTATACAAAAAACGAATGAGCAAGGATGCTGAAGTTTCCTTTCAGCACACTGGAGGGCAGTCCTTTTTACCACACCCTTAAGGCTTTCATGTCAGGGCTTAGTTGCAATGACAGTGCAGTGTGAGAGAGCTATCATTTCGTCTGGCCATACTATGCTTTCCTCTGGACAGATTATACTTGCCCCCTGGTAGTCAAGAGAATTAAGCTTTCATCCTTTACATAAAATATAAATAAATAAATGTGGTACACAATTGTTATAAATATCTAACATCAAACATCCAATTTACATTAGTTAGGGATTAGATGAAGGTGTATATTTTTTTCTTTTTTCAACACTTCCTAAAATAAATTTGGCTCATTGCTACATCATAGAGATCAGTCTAGAGATCAGTCTTTTTACAAGAGCAGTGGCAATTTCTTTTCTTTTCTTCTTCTTTTTTTTTTTTTTTGATAAAAATATGAAATCAAGACAAGTGGAGCACAGAATAGAGCAGTATATTTTCTAATGAGTTTGTGGTCAGATCTGTAATTTAAACTTGACAGTAGAATCACAGAATTCAGATTAATACTGAAGCCACCAGGGATCTTAGGAAACATTATGTTCGATAGAGTGTATGGCTAATGGTTACAAAGTACAAAGGATATGGATAAGCATGGCTGATTTATGAAAATTCTGTCTGTATACCGAATGTATTTATTCCAGCATTTGGGCTTTGGTTGCATTTAAAATGAAAAGGAAGGCTGCTTATTAATTTTACATGAGCTTTTTTGGCTATCCTATTCAAGGCCAAGTTCCAAGCGATTTGCTGCATCCTCCTCTGCACACAGTCATTACATGGCCTGAACTTCAAAAGTGGTTCTAAGTTTCCAATGGTTTGATAATCCTGTTTTCAACAGTTCCTATTTTCTGAAAATCACCATAACTAGGAACAATGCCTTTTAATGCTTCAAATCATTAACATCCCTGCAGAAGAGAAAGGAAAGGGCCATGTATGACAAAGTTCTTCAGTGCCAGCATGCACTTCACTGTAGTCTGAGCTTTTCTTCATTATCCATAATGCATTCCAAACCTGAACTTCACAGACTTGACTTCATGGCATGTTCCCATGCTGGCAGTGAGTTTGTCATTTCTCACTGAGCTCATTTGGCTTATCTCTGTCGCAGTTCTCATGAGTGTTGGTGACTTCTCCTTTACAAGAGAGGATGCCAAAAAAGGGCAAGGATTAAATGATAGTATTTTCTCATTGCTTTTACATGTTATGAAAATAAATATCTACTGCTGTTATATACAATTGGGAGCCACCTTTTGTAAAGGGGTAAGGCTTATTCAGTCACAGAGTTTGCATGTTTGTGAATGTAGTGTATTTTAACATCCATTTTAGCATGTATGTAGTTTAATCTATTCAGGTTTTAATCTCTTTGGTGATTTCAGGCAAATTTGGCAGAGCAGACATCTTTAAGATTAAAATAAAATTCTGTACTTGTGGAAGGATGGAAGGAGGAGGATGGTGAAAAAAAGACACCCGATAAGGAGCCTGCCTAACAACAAGACTACAGAGTGAGTTCATGCATTATTAACCATAAAGAATCCACACAGTATATCTATCTATATATTTCTCAGAGAGTGTGAGAGATGGACCATATGTGCCCCACCCCTGGGAAAAGCTTCAACTGTAGCTCACAATTAATTATGAGGCACAAAGCTGTAGGAAACAGGGCTTCATTAGTTCTGTTCTTGCAAAACTACTTATTTATGTTTTTATTTTCCTTCCATGGCATTTCTGAACATAGAAAATGTGACATTCAAAGTACCCCAGGACTTTCTTAGTAAGTTATTTTGCTACCACTTTTCAATCTGTGGTAAAAAAGAATGAGCACATACATTAAATAATATAGAGTTATTCTTCCTAGTGCACCTATTGCTCTCTTTGTCCATATCACCTCTCTATCAGTAGTAGTAATAGTAATAATAAAAAACATTTTAAAACCCATATGTTCTCCTCAGTGATGTCAGAGGAAGACAAGTTGTTCCAAATATTAAAGCTAGCAAAAGCCGATTTAAGGAAAATAAAGTGGACTGACCTGCCCATACAGCATTTCTCAATTTGTATCTGTGTATTAGCACTTAAACATGATTCTCATCATCATCCTTAACATTAATGAAATTGAACAGCCTTCCTGACTCTCACTGGTGGGTGGGTGTGGATACGGAGAGGGGAAAGGGTGGCAATTGCAATAAGGAACATCTTCAAATGAGCCGGAAACATTGTGTGAAACAAGCTCTTCTCCCTGCTTTGTATTCTACCTTCATTTCCCACTTATTGGAGAGATGAATGAAAGCAGTACACAGCAAGAATAACAAAATGATTGTAAAACAATTACATCATCAAAACTAACATCATATGCTGTCTCCTAGCTGCTTGAAATGTCGTGGTCCAGAAATGATGTTTCAGTTCCTTCCTCAAAGTATCCCAACTGCAGCTGAAGTTGGATCAAATTTTGAATCAGCTTTGAATCAGTAACCTCGTTACTGTGCTTTTGTTGGAAACAAACCTTCCCACTGCACTGCTTTTCCCATTCTTAGACAACTCAGTCCATGTACTACTGCAACGCATCTGGAGCTTGGTCCTGACCAAGCTCCCACAGGAGACCACAGCAGGACTCAGCCTGACTTGAACTGCAGATGGATCCAAAGTGGAATGGAAATGAGCAGATATGTTCTGGATGTTTAAGGAATGTATTGACTCCCAGGCTTTGGTTTGGCACAAAGCAAAAGGGAGTTAAACAATGGCAAAACAACAATTGTTGCTTTGAAAAGGAGAGAAATGGGTGAGATAAAAGAGCAGCTCCCTTTCTAATTATATGACAGACATAGCAGGATGCAGAAGCGTGTGATGAGGCCCTGCTACAGCAACGCAGCTAAGCATAGGCTTAAAATTAAGCATTTATTTAAGGCTTTTGCTGAATAAGGATGAGATCATTCACATACTTAAAGTTAAATGTATGCTTAAGTGCTTTGCTGAATCTGGGCCCAGATACATAAACCATTAAACAGTCACCTTAAGAAAGCAGTGGAAAGCTATATACAATTTCTAGAACTTTTAAGTCACTTCTCCTACATTTCCCCCTACCTGTCTCTTACCAGCTCAAGGAGGAGGTTTATAAAGCTCCAGTTCCCCCAAAAAGATAATGTTCATTGCCACCTGATCGTAATTCAAATTGCTTCTTGCAGCCCCAAGCATGTGTTCATATAACTATAATCAAGCAAACAGGAGACCTGAGACTTGCCAGTTGGAATACTGTCGGTCACAGATGCCACACTTTTTGTTGTTGTTGCTTTATTTTTTTGTGTGGTGGTGGTGGTGTTTGTTTGTTGTTTTTTTGGTTTTGGGTTGTTTTGTTTTCTGTTTTTGGGGTGGGTTTGTTTTAAGAATAAATAAGGATGGGTAGAGAGATTGATAAAAGCTGGCCTTTACTGTCCATTTTTGGCACTCTGTTCCTGTCGCTGGGGTTATTTGGGTACATGTTGCTTTATGTCTGTGAGGGCTCTTTTTTCCCCCCTCTCTCTCTCTCTCCCCTGGTCAGAGAAGCTGTACTCATCACCTGGAGTGAAGGCTGACAGGAATGAACATAGGCAGGAAGCAGCGTGACACACACATTGTCATGCATGACTGACCAGCAGCCATCAACAGCAATTAAACATTGAGAGCACTGGATCCTTTTGGACAGGTTCAAGTTTCCTGGCACTGCTGTGATTAGATGTTTTGCACTGTTTCCCTGTAGTCAGTATGTGACACATTCCCTTTTGCTTGCTCTTTTCTGATATTTATTTTTGCACTGTCCTGGTGTTAGCATCTTCTCATGGAAAATTAATCACTTTGAAAGGGATCATTTTGAAGGAGACTTGTGAGGTGTATGAAAGAGCAATTTGATACAAAAAAATCAGCTGGGTTTTTATTTAAAGACAAAATTCCCCGCCTTAGGTTGAACATTATAGTGTTTAAGCCTTTTTGAGTAACTATAGGTGTGCATGAGAGAAAACTCTGTGAATGGAAGAAACCAGCAAAGAACAACATGGGCCTTTGGGTTTACCCAGCTGACTGCAATTTCGCTGTAATTTAAGACGACAAAACACAATGTGCTTAAAGGCAAGACTGAAGTGAAGAGCAGCTGCAGTTGTGCTGGGCTGTCACTCGCTTGCCCTCATTTCAGGCTGAGATCCAGAGCAGTCCAACTACCCGGCGTTTAACGCCGGCCCAGACTTCCAGGGCAAGGTCTGTGGCTTGGCATGAGGTGCCGCAGCTCCGGAGGCTGGGGCGAAAGGCCTTTTGGCACGCAGCGAGGTCTCGTGCCTAATTGAATAGTCACAGGGTCTAGGGCCAGAAGGGCTCATTAAGGCTCCATTCTGACCCCGTGGATTGCCGTCCTCTCCATTCCCCCGGATTGAGTCCAGCAGCTTACATGTGAGTAATTAATTGCTTCTGTTAATTTGTACTCTCCTAGTCTCTGCAAGGACCAAGGAGGTCCGCTAATAAGTTGTAAGGAACTGCTGGACTTCTATGTAGGAAACCTTCGTGCCTACACCCTTTCCATCTTTCATCTCCTGTGTGCAAGACACGCTCCAAACCCTGTTTTGACCAGTTGGAGTAATCAAATGAATGAAGTGATCAAAAGTAGCATGGTTTCAGCATTCTGCAAGGATTAACATGAGAAGGCAGTGTCATTTAAATGGGCTGTGCTCTGCTCTGGTGCCACCACCAGCCCAGCCGGGGTTTGGAGACAGTCAATGTAGGTTAGGCTTTTTCCCTGATGGTTCCCTCTCACACAGTTCATGGGGGTTGCTCTGGCCATGCATCTGAGTTACCTTTTTACTTTTGTACTAGCATTTAGAGGCCAAAGCAACCCTGGGGCTTTGATACTACTGCCTTTATTTGATAATACAACTCTTTAAGAGCTTTTTTCCTCAGATAGATGCCTGGGATTGTGAGGGCACGTCTAAGAACTGCTATGAGAACTGGTTTCTGAATTTGTTGCTCTCAATAGTTATTCCAGATTGACATATTTGTTAAAGTAATTCCACTATTTTGTGAAGCATTGTGTATTAATAAGACTAAATAAGCTTCTGAACTGTGTGAAGCAGAAAATGTAATTATTATTTCTGTAATGCAGATACAGAAACAAAAGTAGAAAAGGGATGAGTGACTTGCCCAAGGTCATACAGTGAATCAGAAGTGTAAGTATGCCAGAATCCCAGCCACGTCTCATTTCGTTATGATGTGGGTATATTCAGGAAAAAATAGCTGACTTGATTCCGTGATCTTTTACAGTCTTTCAATGGCTTTCTACCTTTTCTTTGTAGGCTTCCAGGATGTCCTGATAGGCACTTCTGTAGACTAAGGAAAGAGCATCAGGTGGTAAACACATGCTTGAATTTCTGTTACCAAAGCAGGTCTCAATCAAATGGACTGGGCACCCAAGCCTGGGATATCTTCTTTACCCAGGAATCAGATTTTGGACCTCCTGCCAATGTCTTGGCAAACTAACTGTGGCATTAACAACGAGGCTTTGGATTTCCAGCCTAGGGAAGCCATTGCACAGGTTCATAGACAACTGTCCAAACATAAATGACGATGAGCATGAAAAGAGTGTGAAAAATTGAATATACACTGGAGAGACAGCACTTAATTCATTTAGTAACTTCAGCATTGACTGCTTTAGCTCTATGAGTAAATCCATTAAATCACAGCTGAGATGTATCAGGTTTTGCTCTAAGAATTGGAATAAAGATATATAAGACCACAGCAAACCAGAAGATTAAAAAGTAGTACTGCATAAGTCAACTGCTAGTTGCTGACATCAATAAAATATTGTCCTTTATTATAGTCATTAGGGAACCTTTTAACAGTCATTAAAATTTCTTAATGCTGTAGTAAAATTTTTAGCTGTTACCTGGAAAAAAGAAGGTACTCTGAACTATATGGCATGAAAATATTTCAAACAAATGCTGTCATATGATGGAGGCATTAACATCTGCTTCTTAGAGCTGATGGGCTGTTTTTGGAAGACACTCAGGAAAAAAATATATATTCATATATATTATATTTAATACAAGAACACTGAAATTTTTCTGGCAACGAAATAGAAATAAATTATTTAAGCCCTTTAAAAGGGAGCTGAAACCTATTAATTACAAAGTTGTGATACATACTGACTGGGATTTGGTGTTAGTTTCAGGTCCTAGTTACTGTCTTCCTTTTTTCTTCTGCATTCTGTCTGAAAAATGTGAAACCATGAAATTAAACTGAAAAGTTTCACAAGCTACAGGAACCGTATGATGATGGCACTCAACAGGGTAATAGTATAGGAGCATGGCTATTGATTAGGAATGTCTTGGAAAAGTGGTGGTTTAAGTAGATAGAAGGAATTTTTAATTATTATTTAATTAATTTTTTGAAATAGAATAAACTGATATTCTGTGCTCCCTATATAATGTTTGCACTTCAAGTGCAGGCACACAGAGCCAGGACCATACTCTTAATACGTAATGGCAGGAGTGTTTTTCTACTTTGACTGAAGTCCCATTTGTATGAGCTTGGCACAGGATGTGTGAGACCCACCATATGATTTTTTTTATTCAGAAAGGCAAAGAGCTTAGAAAAACTTCCTACCTGCTCTGTGTGCTGCAAGCAGCCCGCCGTGACTATAAAACTGGGTCATATTCTGATTTATTTTAAATCACAACTGGTAGGAGAAGGCAGGGGAAGCACATCACATTTAATGGCACCAGCAAGGACTAAGGCAAACAGCATAAAGCAGCACGTTGGCTGGGGAGAGGGGTAATGTCTTGAGCCTGGTAACATCCTCTGAGACCTTTTACAGCCTTAAGGTTAAACACCATGGGAAAGAGAGCACTTCTGGAGCTGCAGTGCCCCACAGAACGGAGTGAGAGGACTGATGAGAGGGAAGACTGACCAGCGGCTGCAGAGTTGTCAGCAGGTAATTCCATACCTGGGAGTACAGAGAATCTCTGCTCATTGCTCACAGCTTTGATTGCAGAGGGGTCCAGACACTCTCAAAGTTGCAGTGTCTGTTTAAACAGGCTAGTTTCTGGTATTACTTTTAATCTTATCTGGAATCTAAAGCATTTAGTAAAAATTATATCAAATACATTTCCTTTCTCATAGCAAAACATTTTTATTTGAATTCACAATCCACAGATTTTCTCGGTTCTGAAAAATCTCTGTGATTATTCAGATCTGAAGTTAAAAAAACCATTTTAGGGAGGAATTCTCATGACACCCTTAAAGAAACAGGTGACATCCAAGAATTATTTTGTCACTTTGCATGAATGTTCAGTGGTGTCGAATCTGAGCGTGATATACCTGGTTTCAATCACTGTTATCCACTGCTTAAGTTTCATCAACTTTTTGGGGCAGCCAAAACTCTCAAAATGTAAGGTTCTGGTTGTATCTGCAGCACAGCTTGATGCAAGATAAACAGGTGCAGGAGGACCAGTACTCTGCTACAGATCAGAGAATTGGATAGGGATTTATTAAAGTTGGAGTAAGCATAGGGTCTTAAAATGTACTATGTCCAACAAAATTTATGTATCAGCATGTCCTGGGAGTTCATCCTGCCCTTTGCAGTGTTCTGTGAATGTGTGTTACAGTAGTGTTTTTTCAGGGGATTTTCAGGAGAAACTTCCTGATTTGTCTTTCTCACAGTTAGGACCTTATAGCTGTGATTTTTCTTTAATAACCAGGAAAGTCGCTGTGAAAATTTCTAGGGGGGAAATTTCCAGAATATCGGATGAAAAATTTAAGAAAAGTGAATAGGGTTGAAGGATGCACTGCCTGTTTCTTATCACTTTAACTCTGTTTCATATCCTCATGGTACATTTCACCCTGAAAGAATACTCTGGGCAACATGGAGGTTCACAGTGCACAAGTGAGGAAAAAGGAAATTGCTACCCATGGGCAGAGAAAAGAGAAATTTAACTTAGGCCAGTGTTAGCAATCAGCAGTGTTTTGTCCACATCTGGCTCACCAGTAACCTCCATTTGCTGCCTGTTGATGCTTGGCCTGTCCCTTCTTCTGCCATCATGAGTGAGACTGTTACAGATGAGAGGAACATGGATAAGATTATTTCTTCTTCACTCCTTCCACACTTCACATAACCAAGAACGGCACTGGGGCTGTGGTGCGGACGAGGATCCCTTTCAGCTCCGAGGGCCGCCTTTCCGGATTGTGCTCTGTTACTACCTAGTTTAATTAACATCTGTGCCAATCAGAGCAGCTGCCTATAAGATAGAGAAGGTTAGCCGAGCATTCAGGAAGATAAATGAGACAAGGGGTTGCCAAGGGGATGGTGTGTCAGACACGTGCCGTGGCTGCAGCAAGCGTACACACCCCCGTTAGCTGTACTGCTCTCGAGTCTGGGGGCAGAGCTAAGGCTTTGAGGCAGGGATGATACATACTTTAACTTCACATTTTTTATCTTTAAAAATGGGATTACAGATGTATTGGTGATTCTGAACAGGGTATGCAACCCCATCAGCCAACTTTAACCCTGTATGAATAGAGCACTTTGGCGGCTAATAGAAACAATTAAACATTTGACATCTGAGAAAGATTTCAGGACTAGGTATGGTGTTCTCCTCAGGAACTCTAGGAATACTAGAGCTACCTATGTTCAAATGCCACAGTATCTCAAAAATAGAACATTTAGAATATCTTGCAAATTATGATTCCCCACCCCAACTGCATGCATCCTATTCCAGAGTCACATAACCCAACTGGTGCTATAATAATATGGAAGAGTCTGAGCTTCTGTGCCTTACTAAATTGGAGTGCCCTTCCCAGACCTTAACAACCTTCAGTATTGTTTCTGTATTTTTCAGTTCTTTTTATCTGTTTTTCCTTTTAAATTTATCGGGAAAACAAGCTACACTGAGATCATCGTATCTGGTCATATTAGCTTCAGAATGATTGCAGTAAAATCTTTATGCCCCAGCACCCTGACAGCATTGTAATGCAATCGTCAGAGGGGCTAGGCATACAGTGGAATGGTTTTACCATCACGATCTTGCATCCAAATGGCCTGATAAGACAATCCCTGTAGACAAGCAATGAAATCCTTTCCTCCAGTGACAGCATCACAAACTCTAATTGTTAGGCATTATTCTTTCTTTGACATTGACGTGAAATCTGTACTACAGAACACAGATCTCATGCAGGTTTACATTGCATTAGCACACTCTATTATTTACCTATGTACTAATTATTCTTCAGTTACACTGAACTTAAACAAATGCTTTGGCTTCTCAGTGTTTTCTTGGCCTAGGTACATTACAATGGTTTTATAGGGAAGAAAGCCTGTTCCTCTAGGTTTGAATAGGGAATGCTAGCACTGGTCTTGAATGCATTCAAGCAAATGGTTTGCAGTTCTACAATAGAAAGTTGTTTCTCCTTCCCCCCCCCCTCACCCTCAGAAATCTAAATTGTTCATAAAGCAAGTAATCTCAAGTTTACTTACTGCAGGATTTGCATTCTATTTTTGTCCATACCCTTTCACAATGAAATCCTTTACAAGGTACTTGTCTACAGTAAGGTAAGACCTACTGTGCACTTCTCTGAAACTTTTTCTGAACTTACGAAGATTTACTCCTACTTTCACTTATGCATCTGCAGCAGCAATGCATTCACAATAATTTATAAATGTGTGGGTTTTTTTAGAGTATTTCTAATTACCTCTCAGCATTTCCTCAAGAGCAGATGACTGGTCTTGGAAGCTGAAGCACACAGAAGGTATTAGTGTGCTTAGTTCTACTGTTGATTTTCAGTATAGTCACCTTGCTTCAGCAAATGCTGGGCACCTCTGTGGTGAGGAGCACAGGCCTCTGAGGAGACAGACGATGTATGCACAGAAGTGGGCAAAGACAGATATTTGTTGTTTTACAGCAGATGTGCAGTCTAAGACAATGCTATCTAAGGATAAAAGCTGAATGAAAGAGCCATCATGACATAACACGATATAACATTTATGATATTCATGACGTAACATTTATGTCATGTTATTTATTTATTTATAGCATTACGTCAAAACATAAAATCCTTCCTTTGTTGGCATTCTCATCTGCTTTTGTGTGTGTGCTTCCATCCCAAAAGGGAGCAAGGCTGGGAGCCATCCTAGCTGCACAGGGCAACCTGGAGAAAATCTCCTCTGAGTATCCCAGGGCACCTTGATTGGTACCTTGGAGAAGACCAGGGGGCAAACATTCATCATAATGATTTCTCACGGGTGAAAAAATTAACCTTGTCCTGGGAGTGGCTCTAGTAGGTATTGGATGCAGAAAGTGGGAAATCACCCTGGCACCTCTGTAAAACCTGGGCAAGGCAAGAGTGTCTGGAGATGTTTGCTTAATACCTGCAGGGTGCTGGTGGCCAGCAGTGCAGCTCCTCATTGCCACACCTTCCATGGGGGAAACATGAGGATGGTTTGCTCTAATGCAAGGTTTTGCCTTTCTGTAGACTTCCATGCACATAAATCAAAGAGATGTTCACACACTGTCTGTGTGGTGTAAGCTGTAGGCAACGGAGATGGTCCAAAAAATTTTGCTGACATCTGGGCTACATTTTATTGGGCCATGCCACAAAAGGTTGTCTTGCTATCTGTCATGGTTTTAAAGCGTTAGCTAAAAAATCACTAGAAAACTTACTTATTTTTTGCTGTGAAATATGGATTAGAACAAGAGCAAAACAGGCTTAAAACTTAAAAGGAACAAAGAAAGTTTATTAACAAAACTACAAGAATAAGAAACCAGAATAAAACTTCCAGAACTCCTTTTTCCCCACTACCTAAGCATTCTCTCATTCACATGAAAACATAGAGACAAAAAAACCTTGGTGGTTAAAACAGTCTCAACTTTGTTATAGTCTCTTCATCAGTCTTTGTAGAGAAAAAGAAATTCTCTTCTGCTAATCTATGGAGTTTTTCACAAGAAAACCATTTTCCTATGGTTTGCTATTTCTCTGATGCCAGCCACCTGGAAAACTCTGTCGTCAGTTC